GGGGGGGGAGATGGGCATAGTCATGAGAATTTCGAGAGTTGTGCTGACTAAGTAACAGAACCGGATTTGTTGAAAGCTTGGGACAGAGAAGCCAGAGGTGTTCCGATTGGAAGAGCAGCTGAGGTCAACCTGCGGAATAATCATGTGCAGTATATTTTTACATGGTAAGTGAACATCCAGCTCCCAAGTCCTATTTCCCTGTATCTCACATACCTCAGGTACGCGCTTGCTGCCGCAACATCCGTTATGTTGTGGATGGTAGTGAAAAAGCCTTCACAGATTTTAGCCCGCCGTGTGCGCCAAAATAAGGAATGGTCATGAGTCATCAGGTCATGCGGTAAAGTAACCACTCATTCTTCTTCCTCGATTCTATTCAACTGCCGCCCTTTCTTCAGTTTCGGAGGTGGCACCATACGCAATTCTTGGAGGAGTTCTCGGGGCAGGTATCTCTGGGCTAGAGAGAACGGCGTTGTGGTTGAATTGGTCTGGCGTTGGCTGTAGATATGTATATTAGATAATGGTTGTCATGTAGGTGTCCCGGGGGCTTACCGAGCCATGAGTGTGACCATATCACTCTCATCGATAGTCTTCCTGCCAGCATGTGTTGCGTAAGCCCCCAAGTCATCGCTAACCTGCTCGAAGAACCAGTCCGATGCTTGCATGATAGCTTCCAGAGTCTCCTTGTTAATTTTGGCCTTGCTATTGCCAGAGGTTCGTGCAAATTTTGTTGCTAGCTTCTTGACAACGCCTGCGGGCAGAGATGGATATTCAAGGCCATGTTTAGACAGCTTAACTTTTTTTTTCTTTCCGGCCTTGGGGACTAACGCAGCAGATTCGGCTTCTTGCATCGTTGTGTCTGCCATGCTGAGATCAGTCCCTGTAACATCAAGTCTGCTTTCGTCTCCGTGTCCGGCTTCGACACCATCCAGCCCTTCTACTTCAAGCTCATCCTCGAGTTCTTCTACAGGCTCCTCGTCTCCTGACACTTCCGGGTCCTTCAACAAATGTTCTACAACATCCTCGACAAGTCGTTTCCCCATTGGTTCCTCAGAAGCACCTTTTGGTGGTACATTAAACGCAAACGTCGTCTCTGTGTCGTCTCCAGGTAGTATATCGGGTCGTATGTCACTTTCTCTACCTCCTGCCAAGGAGAATCGTGCTCTGTCCAGACCTCGTATGGTATCAGTATTCTCACCATCCAGTACCCCATCTTCGCCTACTGGAAAATCCAGATCTCCAAAGGTACGCTCGGCCAAATAGCTGGAATCGTAATCATCTCGTCCAAGCCCTGATTCGTTCAGATCTGCAAACACATCACTCAGCCGAACACTTCCAAAGCTGCCTCTGGATAGTCGTGGTGGTTGTTCACTGATCGCCCTCCGAGCCCTCTCCACCGACTGTATAGTAAGGTTTTCGTCCTCCAATCCAGCAGAGTGAGGTGGCAGCAACAGACTATCATCTTCGTCCTCATCCTCCTCGAATCCGGGTAGCGAGAACCTTGGCCTCGGTAATGCGTTCTCATCATCAGGATCCTCCTCCTCGGCAAGTCGCCTGGATCCAGCATTATTTCGAGCCTGCGGCGTCGGTACAGTTGGCAAAGTCTTCGGCGCCAGAATCCTACTCAATTGCCTCAGTACGTCCCTCGGGGTCTCTCTCTGCTGTAAGCCGCTTCTCCTCCTGTCTTTTCCTGGCGTCAGCCCTCTGCGTAGCTCCAATTCTCGTCGCGCAGCCCTCCCATGCGGCGTTACAGCAACAGGTCTCTTCGCGGATCCAAGTCGGGCACCCGATGCTCGGCGTACATAACTGTGTGTGGAGGGAGGTCCGGCACTGGATGCGCGGCGCAAAGGCGTTGTTGGTATGGGAATAGTGGATAGATGGTTGAGAGCGCGTGGTTGTCCCGAGGTGCTGCCTTCGATGATCTGGTTCACGGCAGGTTTCTGGGCCTGTTTCTCGTTGCTTTCCTTCATGGGTGACATGGCTAGATCTGGGTTTCTGGTTGACGATTCTTCGGTATCATCTGTTGGGCAATGAAATCGCTTCCTGGAAGTTGAATGTCGATTGAGCCAGCGATGGTGACCTGCTTCCATTCGCTTCAAGACTCAAGACGCGTGGTCGCGTACCCCGGATTCTTTGGCTACGCTAGCTTCACCGCCCGCAGCACCCCGGGTCAAGACTTTCAAAGGCCCACTTTATTTATTTGGGGTTTTGATGCTTGACCCAAATCTGACGATGATCATTACGGACTACCTGGACATTCAACTCAACAGACAAAATGTCCAACGAAGATGACTTGCAAGAGCCTCTGTTTGAGAAGATGAGTGCTTCTCCTGCACCCGAACCTTCGGAAAGACCCTCGAAGAAGCGAAAGCGGGGAGAAGTCGAGCAAGGCGCAAAAAAAGCTGCAAAGAAAGCAAAGAGCAAGAAGGCCAAGGACAATGAGGACGAGGATCTGGATCTTGAGGCGGGTATCAACAGGGCGTTCTCGCATATGGATAATCAGCTGTTGGCAGACTATGTTGCGAGGCAGACGAAGAGGCACGAGAGTGATTTGTCGGCCATTGAGCTGGAAGATAAGTACTTGCCTGGTAGGACCTTCTCCTCATGTACGGGGGATTAAAGCTGATGTCCGTTACAGCTACAGCGATCCGAGATACGACCTCGTGGGAGAAGCCCCGGACTTTGGGGAATCTGCCGGGCTTTCTGGAGAAATTTGCGGGAAACTCGACGAAGCTTTGGGGTTCCTCAAAGAAGAATGGAGCGCCTCATACAATTATTGTCTGCGCGTCGGGGTTGAGGGCGTCGGAGGTTGCAAGGTAGTAAATTTCTGTGCCTGTTCGGACTATTCTCTAACATGCGTCAGGGCGATGCGGTCGTTAGTGACAAAAGATTCCTCGGTTGCCAAGTTGTTTGCGAAACACATCAAGATCAAGGACTCTATAACCTTTCTTAAATCGAAAAGAACGGGTATTGCAGTGGGCACGCCGACTCGGCTGAAGGATCTGATGGATGATGGTACTTAGACCTTGACCCAATGCTGATACTGTACTGATGATGTTTTTTAGGCGCACTGCAAGTCGATCGCTTGGAGAGAATAGTGATCGATGCATCACACATCGATATGAAGAAAAGGGGCATCTTGGAGATGAGAGAAACCCAAGTGCCTCTGACTGTTTGGTTGGGCCAGAAAGAATTCATGGAGAAGTATGCCAGTGGAGGCATTCAATTACTTTTCTACTAAATTTAATTTCAAATATGGCCGCTAATTTCTTCCTCCGTCCTGCTTTGAACTTCGATTTGGACCCAGGTGTGCTCTTTTATATGGCGGCGGTCGGTGCGACAAGCTTGGCTACGCCAGATGATTCGGGTTTTGAGATGAAAGATGTCACAGTCTTAACAACTTTCGCGCCTACTAGGCAGCGTTTGGAGGATTTGCTGCAAGGCCAGCAACAAAACGATCATGTACTCGCTGGAGGTCTGGCGGCCATCATTACCATACAACCTGCACAGCAACCCCTTCGAAAGAATCGCATCTCACCATCCTGAATGCTTTCGATATCCAGCATCCGATGCTATCGATACCGGTAATCAATTTGTTCCTACAACTTGTTGCAACGGAAAAACGGAAGTCGCATAATTGCCCTTACAGATTGCTTACATCTGATGACCCTAGTGTTCTTGTCTAATCAATTGATAGCCCAGATCAAGATAGGTCCAAAACTTTCGTACCACAGGAAATCTGGAAACGGTGAGTAAGCAGTCTGACCGTTAGCGATATTCTTCGGTGTCTTCCACTCTGCAGCAGTTGCGAGGTGCTCTCGTGGTCTATTAGACTATTTACTCCTAGTACTTGCTTGTCTTTCTGCAATAGCGACCCTCGGGTCGCAACTCCCCTATCATGCCGAAGAAGCATAAATGCAAAGCCTCTCAATGCCGGTGGCGCCTTTTCCCTTATCTTGTTCTCATCCAAACTTCTCTCTCATCGACAAGCTCACTCACCACAACCTCCTGTCTCGAGAACACAATCTCAATTGGAAATTCCTGTCACTACACTTCTCGTCACTCGTTCTCGCACAGTCATCCTCCTAGCAATCCAGTTGCTCGTCTCTACTTTTGCTGCAGGTTCCTACGGCTTGGGGTCGCCGCACGCCTTTCTTTCAACCAAACAACCTCCTCAGCCACTAGTAGTCGTCTATCACGAGTTTCGAATCAATTTCGCCGAGGCTCAAAATGCGAGTTCTCAAGTTCTTGTCTTTGATGGCTATGTTGGGGTGCACGATAGGCCAAAGTGGCTCTGCTACACCAGGTTCGTTACACCTTCTCGGTGGACCGACCACGACTGACTGGTATCCAGAGTGCGCTCTTCGCTGCTGGGAGAATACGAAATACGTCACCAAATGCTCGGAAGATCAGCAATGTCTTTGCAGTGATGTAAACTACCAAAACGTAAGTGGTCTCGTTCGGATTCGCTGGGTCAAGACTACCGTCGTTGCATTTGCTGACTCCATAGACAGTCGGTTTTCCAATGCATATACTCGCAGTGCGACACTGTTCACTTCGGATCTGCTCTCCACCATGCTATCGCCCAGTGCCTTGGAACAGACAATGAGGTCTTCTTCGCCATCCCACCCATCCCCGATCGAGATGCTCTACGCCGTCGCGAAGACGAATACGCCGCGGGTGCGAAGCTGTTCGGGTCCGGGTCTGCCGCAGGATATCCCACAGAAAGTGCAGCCTTCCCGGTACAAAGCGCCAACTATCCCACCGACAGTGTTGGTGGTCCATACTCCCCGAGCCCGACTGCCTCAGTGCCTTTCCCATACTTCTCACTCACCTCAGTCACCTCTCCCGCAGCCAAATCTGCTACAACTACTGAGGCGACCCGCAACACTGTTCCTGCCTCGACCACGGCTCCTTCGCCCTCACCACAGCTCTACACGGGCAACGCATCCACGTCAAGAGCCACCGTCTCTCTCACTGTTGTGCTCACGGTGGCAGCGGTCTACCTCGTTCTCTAACCCCACACTGGCACACACTGTCACGTTCACCCATCCCTCTTTTGGACGTTCCCAACCCGCGGAACAATGTACTGGCTCATCGGAGAGCAATTTTGGAGTTCGATTAAGCCTTTTGAACAATTATGGATTCAGGGACTACGCTGGATTAGACCGTCCCCTTCTTGGGCATGTTGGCTAGGATTGGAAGCCTGGTGAACATTGGTACTCTTTTTGCATTTTCATTTTTGTAATAGTCGTCTTGTAGTAGTTGTCTCTGCCGCGACACTGTTGGAGAGCGGACCATAGCTGCATGTGGTATGTCTGCGAGAGATGTTTTTGGAACTTGGCAGTTTTACTTTCACCTCGTCTCGCTTCAACTATAGCAATTGGAGTCATGATTGAAAGACTTGTTTTGCTTTTTCGTTGTGACTGTGACAAGAGACTCTGTGGCATTACTTTAGGGATGCGCTGTGTTCGGAGTCTTTGTATGGAGTCGCTCTTCCTGTTTCCTAGAAATTCTCATCTGTCTCCGGTCATACCTGCAGCTACTTGGAGGGATCGCCGCTTCTTCTTCCCGAGGATATCGCAAGGGTTTCGGGGTTGATTTGGTTTGAAGGGACAGACAGATGGATAACTTGGCCCCCTGAAGAGAGATTGAAAAGCTCTTCTAAGGTGGCGATTTGCTGGGTGAGTGGGTCATGGATTGAGAAACATAGTAGTAGTAGTAGTAGTAGTAGTAGTAGTAGTAGGTAGGTTCTGTGTCGTTGTCATGTTCACCAGGGAGTCTCGATGCCGGTAAGTGCTTCCAATATATACGCTACGCAACGCTATGAATCCTACTCTACTACAGTACTGAGCTCCAGATGAGATGCACCAAGAAGACAGCTGCTATGAATCCTACTACTGAACGAGATCAGATGCACCAAGAAGACAAAATTCGTGCCGCTCCGTCATGGGCCCGTAGGCTGCTCCGCGGTATACTTGAAACCGATTCTAATCCCTGACATGCTCCGCTCGCGAGAGCTGGCGAAGACACTCCAGCCCTTGGGAAGGAACACGGCGGGCTCGGTGGGGTGGGAGAGGCGCTGCTTCAGCCGCCGAGGAATGCTCGGTCTCATCATCTCTTCCAACACGGCTTGCAGGGCGTCAACGTCCTCGTCTTCGCCTGGCCAGGCGAATAGCTTCCTCGTCACTCTGGCACAGACAGGCCCGCAAACGCTGACATCGTATTCCTGAGGTGGTCAGGTTAGCCAGGGACCCGACCCGACTCGAGAAAAAAAAGGAAAAAAAGAGGGGGAAAAAAAGGAAGAAAAAAGCTAGTAGGGGCGCCATCCATACCTTCAAGATGGAATTCTGCATGGACAGCCAGCGACGGGAGACTTTCACCGTTCGCTCGTAGAATTCTCCAAAGTTGTCGCCCGCTTCTCGGAGGCGAAGATCCTCGCCATCTGTATACAAAAGTCGGCAGACCTCACAGATTCGCTTCTTCGGATGCTCCGAGTTGAAAGTTCTCACCATATCATTTGACGTAGCGTACTTGGTTCTGTTATGCAGCTATGGCATCAGATGGATCTCATCGAGGGAACCCGGGGGGGGGGGGGGGGGGGGGGGGCTGCTACTCACGGCATGGGTATCTCCATGCTATATTCTGAGCATCGGAAAGAGCGAATGTCGACGATGTGGTATCCGAGGGGGCTCTTTTCCACGAATGCTGGCCTGTGAAGGATGAACTCTTTGATTTTCCGCTTTGGCTTTGGCTCTGGCTCGACGATGTGGTATCCGTAGGGGCTTTTCTCCACGAATGCTGGCCTGTGAGGGATGAACTTTTTGATGACCCGCTTTGGCTCTGGCCCTGGCTTTGGCTTAGTTCCAGGCTCAAGCTCACTCTCACGCTTACCCTCACGCCCAGGCTCAGACTTCGGCTCAGGTCCAGGTTTAGGCTCAGGCTTAGGCGCAGGCTTAGGCTTAGGCTTAGGCTCAAGCTCAATCCTCAGCCCACGCTCAGGGACAAGCCGAAGCTTAGGCTTCGGCTCCGGCTGCGACTCACGCCCAGGCCTAGGCCTAGGCCTAGGATCATCGAGATAAGAAGGGAGTGGACCAAAGAAGAGCTCCACGTCGGCACGCTCCATCTCGTAGATGCAAGCGGTCGGATGGACCGTCCGCAAGTGATCCAAGTCCGCATCTTGCCCGTAGGGAGTCCTGCATATCGCGCCATCGGGATGGATCCATTCGACCAGGTACATGGCTGGTGGTGAAGAGGTAGAAAACGACAGTATTGATTGATGTGAGATGGAAACGATCGAACGCTAAAAGCGATGGTGATTATTGCTGTTGTAAAAGCTGTAGCAAGGAACGAATGGAGAGCAAGATTGATGCTATGAATTAATGAGTATAGAGATGGAGAGATGATAGAAAAGTGATTAGCTGGGTGTGTCGAGGTAGGCCGGAAGATAAGCTAGGCGGACGCGCCAACGAGGCAGCGACGATGGAGATGGCCTAGTGATGGCCTAGAAGGAGCGGAAGATTATCTTTACGATATAACAGAGCGATTCGAGCGAATAGTGCAAAAAATTCATGGCGGTGCTGACTGAGTGATCGAGACGCCGAATGTCATTTGTTTACTTTTTAACGTGGAATGGCTAAGCGAGCTTGGCTAGACCAGTACCTACTGCCATGAAATCCTGTTACAGTGTAAACTTCCCAGCTTTCCGGATGATAGGGAGGGAATTTCTTCAAGAGTTGGCTGAACGAGGAATATGTCGCTACCCGGGCCAAGTAAGCACGAAGCAGAATCATTAAGCTGCCACCAGCTTGTAATACTTTAGAAGGTGTCTTGTATTTCAGAGACACAACTAACGTCTATTACTTGACAGAAACAACTGCAAAGACCCCAGAGCACTCTCTCACAGGCCCGCAAATTCATCATTGTCCACAAGCCGAGCATTAGAATGGTCCCCCGCCTTGACCCAGACATCAAAAATGTATCCAACGGGCTTGTCTACCCTGGCATCTGCAAACATGCAACTGATCGATCTCTTTACACTTTGCCAGCCGGCTTCAGTGTCCGACCTATGAAGAACAAGCTTGGAGCGACCGGCAAACAATACATCGAACGTGACGCTGGGAAGACTTTGTGGCGTATACCCAGAGCGCCGAGAGTACATTTCGAAGAGCCCGCTGACCATGGTGTCCCTAATTGAGGGGAGTGGGTTGGAATAGTCGAGTGCTCCGCTGACCTTCTGGACAATGAAACGAACTTTCGGCAATGGCGCATCTACGGGGCCAGGCGGGACAAACTCGCAGAGGACGGGATCATTATTGACTGGGACCGAATTAATAATTTCCCCTGATTTCATTCCCGTTCCCTCCGGGAGTGCCTGTGGTCGTGCTTCTGCATCAGGGTACAACCGCGGACGGCCACGATCCACGGATCCGGGAGCGAGCGAAAGATTTGGCGAGGAATCATCGATACTCTGTCCCGGAATAGCATTCTTGTTCTGAATAGTTTGGCCATCATGTTGCTTCGAAGTGGCGACCACAGAATTGTCCGGCAATTGAGCCGCAGCAATGCTGTGTTGCTGGGTAAGTGGCTTATATTGCGAATGAGGACCTTCGAACTCGGTGGTGCTCGATGATAACCCCGTGTTCTCTATTAGAAGGGCATGTTGCTCCTGAGCCGGGTTGTCTGCTTCGAGTTGTGAAGAAGAGACTTGGGCCGCATTTGATGTTGAGGCAACACTGTTTCCTCGATGCTCCGCCTCCTGTGGAGCTACTGAAGCATTAGAAGCAGGTGAAATTCCATTCGATAAGAAAGTTATTCCGGCCCAGGGTCTTGGCCCCATTGGCCCCATTGTCGGTGGTGCTCCAACCGTCCTTGAACCAGCCACTGAGTTTCTAGGGGATGACAATTTAGAAGGTATCAGTGGTTGAAATCGCTCACGGAGCTGGATTCTCGCGTTAATCTTGATTACTTCGGATTCGCAACGACTTACTTACCTTGTACTTCTGGACCGGTAGGCTACTGAGTGGCGTATCGTCAATGTCTTCAATTTTGATCTTCGGAGGTGGGGGCTGAGAAGCAGATGCCGGAGAGGTCGGTGATTCACCGTGAGGTATATCTGGGGCGTGGGAAATCTTTTGGCGTTTGCTAGCAGGAGCATCCTGGCTTTCCAGAAAGTTCGCAGTGTCCCGGTCGGTCTATGGCTAAGTGTAAGCAGGAGATCGAATATGGTAGACTGAACTAACCTTGATCGATGGTTTAGCTTTCCTCTCCTCTCGAGAGCGAGAGGCCAACCATTGTTTGCGTCGTTCTTTCAACTCGACATCAAACTTTGGAGCTCGTTTGTATCCACGTGTGCTAACTCGATCAAGCAAACCTGTCTTTTGCAGACTCCTAAATGACGCTGCCATTTTCTTTTTCGTCCATTTAACAACAATTGAGTTCTGTTCATATGAACATTTCATTCTGAGACGAGAATAAAACATTTCGACGACACCGTTGACCTGTTCTTCGGATGGTCTGAGAGTGTATATGTCATAATCGTGCATATGCCTCCAGAGTAAAGCTTGAAGAGATGCGGGCCACTCGGTCCATGGAGGTAGGCCCTGGAGCGTTTTGTTAGTTACGCCCACCAGTCTGGTACGTAGGCTTACCATGAACATGAAGCCGATAAGTGGATGTCTGCTAATCGCAGTGTCTTTTTTGTAATCATACGGGTTGATATCATCAAGCTCCTCCTCACCTTCAGAAGGATAAACCCAATCTAGTTCCTCGTCGATATTGAATTGGATGTCGTTCTCCATCTCTGCCTTCCGGATACTAAGCCACAATTAGATACTGGATCCAATCCTCCGATAATTCTCTTCCAACCTTTGACGCCGAATCTGATCGTGTAGATACCTGATCTCTCCTCTACCAATCTTTCCCATCGGCTCAGAAGGACCGGAAACATCAGACTTTCCACCCGAAGCAGTTTCGAATTTGACTTCTGGAGACATGTCTGAATCTCTCGTCCTACTTGAGCGCTTTTGTTCCGGAGGCTTGCGTTGCGCAGACTCCACTTCGGACCGGTCTGACATGAGTCGCGATGAGCCTCCGACTGGCCGATTCTTCAATTCTGTTCACGACGTATAAGCTCTCTACAAGCTCGTCGCATGATTCAGAGAGGACTTACAGAATTTAAATCAAGCGTATCGCTTTCTTCCGGCAATGCTCTTGAGCCACGGGGGGACTGAAGTCAGCTGTGGAAGGACGCACACGTGGAAATAAAAAAGCCCGTTGAATGGTGGTCGCGAAAGTGTAGTTATCTAATTACGGAGCAGACATCACAGGTTGGGGATGTTGGCGGTTGAAATGCGGCACATCAGTACGCACGTGACTTCTGAAATAGGAGCTGGTCAGCTCCGCGAGAGCTGTATTATCTTCCAGAGGTCACTATTCCCCTGAGGTATTACGTAAGGGACCCCCTGGATGTGTCACGACGCTCGCTAATTTAATGTTTGTAAATAAAAACAATAAAGCATTGGGCATGTATTATTTTGCCATACTTTTCGCTGCTGCAAAGCCACAGGAAATGCTGTTCCCCATTTAGATAACTTCCAAGATTTCGCAAGATTCTACTGATCTTGATCCATCTCATGATATTTCAACCCAGTCACTTCGTCTCTAGCCCGCAACTGCGCACTGCAAGAGTGGTATTTTTTGAAATAGTAGAGTATCGATTGGTTAGAGCTCATACCATATAGCCTCAAGGTCGTGTTCCGAACAGCCATGATACATACACTACATGAACAGTTTATTCCCTCTGTACCATGATCTGAAATTCCATCTCGTGAGGATCATCGATCTGAGCCCGTCTATAAAGCGCAGAAACGACCGACTTTAAGCGTTTCCACGCAACGTCGCCTTTCGACCTCGTGACCTTTAAACGCTGGTTGTTCCCCCAAGTGGGTGTAAATACCAGCTCATGCAGATTTTCCGCCGGCGCCTTGGATACGGAAGCGTAGAAGGAAAAGAAGCCCTCGAGAGTGTTGTTCTTGACCACGTTGAAGGAGTAGCTATTCTCAAGGTCCAATTCGCCGTCTGCTGACTCGATGAGAAGCTCAAGAGTCTTTGTTTGAGAAGTGCCCGTGTTGGACTTAACAATAGACCTTTCGTTGCTGAGAAACGCTGGTCTTTTAGTCTGGAACCACTGGAGGGTTTGAATGCCGGCGAATTCATCTTTTGAGGGGGCGGTACAGAAAGGATTAGGTAAAGGAATATGCGCATACGATCCGAGGCGAGCTTTTGGACGCTTGGGAGAAGCTGGTCTGGGCGAATCGACTGCGATAGTAGGAGGTACGAGTGTCTGAATCCGATGAAAAGCGAGACCTGGAATTATCTCCCCTAAATCTTGATTGTTGGGCTGACATTGCTGTGCTCGTTCTTGGCCGAGTATTGAATTTGAATTTACCTGAAGATTGGAGAATAGAAGTCCTGAGCGCGGAGCATTTTGAGGAGAGATTTCGTCAGAAAGAGCATCGTCAGAGCGTTGCTGGGTCGATTCATGTTCACATGACGGATTCCTTGACTTCAATTTTGATATACAGAGTCTGTTAGTGTTCGGTCCCGAGACAGGGGGAGAAAGCTTCGAAGCACTAATCGCAGCTTGTACATCAATACTTTTGAAGAACGGCTGGACTACGGGATTCTCCGAATCAGATCGACGCTCTAGCATTTTGGCCGCAGCAGGAGTATATGAGCCTGCGGATCCGGCAGCTAGCCCCAGTAAGAAGGATGGAGCCAGTACTGAATTTGTGAGGCACGGTTCTCTGGCATGCAAAGGCAAAATAGCATCCTTAGGTCGAGTCACGGATGTAATTGGAGGGGGCGTGATATTCTGAGAAGCGTCTGCTTCAAGGGCTATCGTTGTGTCGTCGATCAGGGCAGAAGTCTTCAATGGGTCCATGGACACGGCATTCGAATCTGTTGTGCTTCTTTCGTTTTGAGCAACACCCAGCAGCGCTGATTCAGACTGCTGTCGAGATATTAGAACAGCGCTCGGAGTGGGCTTTGATCGCTGCGTCGACTTAATTGGGCAATTTGGACTCGCCAATAGTAGTCCTGGCAGCGAAGATCGTGCAGTCGGCGACGTTGATCCAGTTCTTTCGGGAATCTCTACAGTGCTCGATCGATTTGGTGCCGGGAGTATAGGCTCATCTGAAAGAGGCAGAGGAACTGATCGTGGAGTTGCCGGCACATATTTTGCCATATTCTCCTGTACATCGGCTCTCTCCTCAGTAGTCACTTTTCTCGAAGCAGAGCCTTGTGATGGATCTGCTTCCAGCTTGGAAGGGGTGGTGGTCTTGGTATTCGAAATCGGATTGCCAAAGTGGGAAAGAAACTCGCCGTGAGCTTTCGATGAGCTGGAGGAATTGAGAATCGACGGCCGTCGAAGGAGATTCCTCAGCAGTGATTTGGGCCGTGTCGTCTCTGTGGGCAACTTTGATGAATCGGCGGTAGAAAAGCCTTTATTTAGAGACACCGGTGGGGTGGTATCACAAGTGAGCTGAAGTTTTCGCTGCACGCTCGGCGACGAATTGTACGGTTGCAAAAGTGGATCGTGACCAAGTGCTACGGAAGGCGAGACTGATATATTGGGGGAAAGTCCTTGCGGGTCTGCTACTTTGTGATATAGATCAGTCGCGACGACGGGTTCGGGAGCCTGTTCAGCTGTGGGCACATTGTAGAGCATCATAGGCTGTGTCTCGGTCTTGTGAAAGCAAACTTCGATCGTCGTGCCAGTATGCGAATAAGTGTAATCGTCTTCCTCTTCATCCAGCATCTCCGTAACAGACTCTGTCCTTGACCCTGGCTTGACTTCGTCATCTGTTGAAGTGCGAGGAGTAGTGACTGGAAGAGACATCACAGCGGCAGAAGACGTTTGTGAAATGCTACCATGACGCCGCTGAGATTCGGCCATCGGCGAAGAAGCGGCAACGTCCTTGGATCGGACTAGAGATTTATTGGAGCTTTCCTCCTGAGCTCTTCCCACACAATCGACAACAATGCTCTGCTCGGGCGTAACACTCTTGCCCCTCGTTTTGCTTGCCAGCTCGAAGTCTAGAGAATGAGTTAGAGCGAGAGTATCAGGTTCATGCAACTGCATATATTTTAGCAAAGAAAGACAGGCAAATGAGGACAGGCACTTCACCTGTAAGTCTTGTAAAACAACACCAGGCATCATCGAAGTTTCCTGAGCACAGGTTCTGTCCCTGGGTTGTCGAGTGGAAATCCTCAGAGCGCTCTCAGCCATGAGGGCCATTTGAACCTTCTCCGAGCTCCCGAATTGTTCCTCCATCTGTTTATCTAGATTTGGAAACCTAGTAGGACTCTTCGCAGGCTTTTTAGCTCTCGTCTTCTGACGCTTGCGCATCTTCAGCTTCGGCTCTGCCTCCGATATGACCGGTGTGTCCCCGAAATCGGTATGCCAGTGTACTTTCTTATTCTGCCACATGGTCTTAAATTGTTTCGTAATTTGAGGAGGACCATGGCGACGAATCTCCACTATGAACAAGGGCGATTTTGCCAACTCAAGGGTGAGATATTCTACCCGATCTCGAACCCGTTCCTGGAACCTGTCGTACCCCAGACCATCCTCGAGATCTTCAATCTCCGTTCCTTTGGTCAGAAGTCGGGTAACTTCAGCTGGAGGGTCATCGCCGTAGTTGGAACTGATATATAACTCCCGATTATGCATGAATGTCTGCAGCCGCTTGTCTGCAGCGATAGGCCATTTGTAATCGACCTAGGAAAGTTAACGTCCCGTGCATGTTACGCAGAAGGTTCCTTACACATTCGAGCCATACTTTTGTGAAGTCGGCCAAATGTCTGATATCATCACGCGGATTGAGGCTCCGTATGTAGTCACTGCAGACTTTCGGGTTGGGACTCTGCAGGGGCTCCCTCCAAGGCCTGGGCTCGTTCATCGGCTCCGAAGTTGTACGAGCTAGCTGCTCGAAGGTGTGTTCCACGAAAATCTTTTCCTCAACGTCGTCCCTCTCGTACTGCAATAGTCAGTCCGTAACGTCTTGAGGATCGTTTGTTCTACGCTTACTCTCAACCTCTTCTTCGCCGAATTTCCACTCGGATTCCCAGCTTTGGTTTGTTCTTCGCGCTCATTTTTGTTCCTTATCGACATGCCCCTAGAAATACTGGCTGATATCCCTTTCCGCCGCATGATATGGCCTACTGCTTCTGTGATTCTGCGACTCACTGCATCAGCTCAATTGTCTGCAAATGATAGAGGCGCCGGGACTTGCATATGCTCATCCAAAGGCCAGGTCAAGTGCCCAGCATCATTTTTAGGCCAGAAGCGTTCGGCTCGGGACTCCTCTTGCAGATAACTTGTAGCACATATCAATGCATCTTTTGTAAGCATTCGTCTACTCCCCAAATAACGTCCAGGCGTTTCGTATGACCTGAAATACGCATCGATATCGACCATGAGATGTTTGTAATCTCGTGTTGGATGGTGCTTCACATATCCAAGCACTAAACAGAGATCTCCAATGGTGTGCTTTTCCATCTGCATCATGTTTCTCGAATTGATGACTGAACCTGTTATCATGATTGAAACTGGGCGTTGGTACAACAAGAATATGTTGGAGCAACGGAAGAGGTGATGGCGCTAGGGGAAGGGCAAGTCAACCATACACCAAAAAATGGGGTAGTCTGCGAATTATAAAAAGCAAACAAATGGCAGCGGAGCCCGGTACGTGACTTGAAACGGTGAAATAGAGAGTGGATGAAATCCGTTCCGGCCCATGGGAGCCGACCGGAGCCTGCTCGAAAACTTGATAATTGGATGGAGTTGAAGAAGAGTCTTTCGAGATCGTAAAAGCAAAGGGAGGAGTTTGGCCCAGGCGAGGAGGATACCGGTCCACCCATCTCTACTGACTTTTCGATAAGGTGTGCCAATTCTTGAGCCACTTTACAAGGGCGGGTGCATGTTTGTGTCTGTACTGTTAGTGGGCACAATGACCGGGGTAAGATGCGAGAAGCCGTAATGTCCCATAAAAGCCGCGAAGAGAGATGATAGACCGTTGGAACCCTGCGTTTTATTTGTTAAGTAGGTATTGTATCGAGCAAAGATCGCCAGAACAGTAGGTGGGCTTGGTATAAGCCAGTAAGAACGATGATGCTACCAACATGGCTGACTAGCCGAGACTCTCGAACCTCTCCTTCGCCTTGTCCTTTGTCTTGCTCAGGAATTCAGCATACGATCCCTTCGTTTGTCGCTGTGCCTCTTCCACAGCGTCACCAATCTTTCCCCCTTGCGCGCCCAGACCAACGCCCTGAGAATACATCTCAGTCATGATTGCATCAGTCCTTCCCGTTCCTTGGGCTCCCAATCCCTGCCCAGCGGTCCAGCCCATCTTCCCCAATAACGCAGCACCTTTTGACTGGATCGGGGGCTCTTCAGTTTTATTCTCCGGGGGTGATTTTGCCGTTGAATCTTTGCCTCGACTATGCTGTGCAGCTGGCTGTTTCGGCTGGTTGAAAGCATGGCGCCGCTCCTTCGCCCGGTCTCGGTATGCGCTGTCAGCTGCATGATCCCCAGACTTCTTGAGCTTTGCCATTGCCTTCGCAACCATGTCTTCCTTTTTCAGGTTGTCCCGATGAAGCTGGCTCATACGCTCATGTTTGTTCACCTCGGCCTCTGTCTTGAACTGACGAGAACACAACAGGCAGCATTTGCGTTCCAAATCAGCAAATGTGTGACTTGGGGGTGCTTCTTCGGTTTCGGGTTTCTTCAATTCCGATGCTTGGTTCCCTGCCTCTTTCTGAGGAAGTCCGTGCAGCTCTGCATGGCGGTTTTTCCAGAATTGAAGATGAGTAGCAACAACTGGTTCCTTTTCCGTCTTCCTCCTCTTGACTTTCGGCTCCCTGTCAGTTCCTGGATTTACCAAACCCTCTTTAGCCGCCGCTAAAGCCAGTTTTGTATGTTCAGACTTCTTGGCTTTGGTCGTTAATTTCGAAGGCGCGGTGGCAGTCACAAGCTCCTTTGCATAAGCCGCCTCGTCCCAGTACATAAGCTTGGTGGCCGAATTTCCCAATGGGCTGAAGGTAAACTTCTCACACTCTTCACTGACTGAATGGAGGATAGGCACGAATACTCCGGCGTGGATATATGATATCATAACGGGCTTCGAGGAAATGGTGAATTTCTCTGACGCGTTGTATTTGAGCATTGCTGCATTTGCATCCTCGACCTGTTGAGAAGATGTAATTTTAGTATATCGCATCTGCAATCTATATTGATTGGGGTTCGACTTACGGTACTGAATTCAGCAAATCCGTACCTCCAGGAATCATCGGTCTTCCTATCACGAACCAGCAAAACTCGCTGTAGAGATCCATCTTTGGCGCCAAGACTAGAATCATTGGTGGTTGATGCAATTTGTCTCTTCTTTCCAGATCCATCAGTCGGAGGAGTGCTAGCCGTTGTTCTGTATAGCTTCTTGACACCAGTTGCAAGCAGCTCCTCGTTCACTCCCTCGGATAACCCGCGGAGGAGGATAAATTGAGAAGCGGCTCCATCGGGAGAGACATCACTGTCACCAGTAGTCGCAAATCCGGAGAATGCCGACATGTTGGCCTGGGGCACCACAAGGCCATTTGCATTCGCCCCTGGATGGATTAGCGATGTTCTTACTATCATCGGGTGTGACTAACGAGTTCGTGGAGCATTACACCGAAAACAAAGTGTGCGATGGGAAAAGTTGGGGAGAAAACACTAGCAAGTATCAGTACGGGTCTTGGACGGCAGGTCGAATACGCACAACGTCGCATCTCCAATCATCTTCACCCTTTCCAGCTCTCTCTCGATCGTCTCGCTCTCTGCCATAGGCTATCCGCACATTGGTGGGTTCTGCGTTCGCGGATTGGCCTGGACTGTAGGCGCCATAGAGAGGACAAGCGGGATAATATTGTTCGAGGAACCTTCTTGCGTCTGATATCCTGGCGAATTGCGCGAAGGCAAATCCTTTTGAAGAGCCGGTTCGTTTGTCCTTAATCAATCTGACTTCCTCCAAACCCTCAAGCCGTAGATTATGTTGTAATTCGTTGAAGATCTGTAGTCACGAAAAAGGCCATGCGGCCAATTCTGATGCTTAGCCAGAGTTCCAAGTTTTGCTTGTTTACTTAGGGTGAAAGTGGGTTGAAATTGAGAGTCCGTGTGAGGGTAGGAATGGGGCGGCCAACGTCTTCCTGAGTCCATTCGAAGGGAAGTCCTTCTAGTATCACGTTCCGATTCGGCGGGCCGCCAAAATATGGTGAGTGGCTACGGCTTCTGTCTCTCCGTGGCGATTCATAGCCCTCCCTATCTCTGTCTGTATAGCGCGGCCTGCCCTCCCGTCGTGGAGACCTCGACCGGGCGCGGTCGTAGCTATCTGGCCTGTCCTCCTTGAACTGGCGCACAGCATTCGCGGGGTCGTATGGTTGTTCGAATGCCGACCCTCGCGGAGGCGTTCTTGAGTTATCTTGAGACATCGGATGTCAGCATAGTTCCGGATCAGGCTCTATATCCAACTCGATTACCCTTCCGCGCATTCTGATATTCGTAGCCTTGGGTAGACGAGTCTCGGTAGTCTTCTACGTATGGCTGGTCATCGTACATGGCGGACTCTTGTATAGAAGAGAGTCGTATTGGGCGTGTGGGATTCATATTGCTTGCTGGCAACCGAGTGGCGTTGCAAAAGGGCTGTGGAAAGGGAGGCCGAACGAAGCTCCATGGATTTTGAGTAGCGTTGTGTCTAGGTCACATGATTCAAATGTTAGAGCTTCTTCTCCGACTCGGGTTCATCATCTCATAATCCAACAACGTAGCTACCCTTTGGTGCTACCGATATATCTCATGGCTAGGGATTTACAAGAAGATGAGTGCTATGTTGCATTAACGCACGACTATCTCGACGTCAAGTCCACGATGGACCGTGTCCGAAGCCCGAAAGCCGGGGCTATTGTGCTCTTCGCTGGTATGTGCCTCTGTCATCATTATCATATCATGTACTTACTGGTTCCAAGGGACTACTCGTGACAACTTTGATGGAAAACCTGTCAAAGAGCTTCAGTATACTTCGTACGAGCCCCGTGCTCTTCAAAGCATGCTCAAGATCTGCAAGGACGTCAAGGAGAAGCATTCTCTGACCTCAATCGCTATGATACACCGATTGGGTGTCGTGCCTATTGCTGAAGAGAGCATATTGATTGCAGTCTCGTCTCCTCATCGGCAGGCTGCTTGGAGAGCTGGGGAAGAAGCATTGGAAGAATGCAAAGAGAAAGTTGAAGTCTGGAAAAGGGAAGAGTTTGGTGGCGAGGAAGGTGGGATCTGGAGGGCAAACCGGGACGGAGCGGTCGGAGTAAGGATTGACGGAGACCAAGAAGAAGATGAAAATGAACCACCGGCTGGACCTCAAGGACCGATTCTAAGACCTGGACGTCCTGGTGAACGAGGTCATGGGCCTGTGGTAAACACGAACACGCTGAACGACTAATAATGCCATTCCAGGCAATGAAAAAACTACACCCTCCTTTGATGACTGAAAGAATTTACGAACGACGGCCTCTTTAATGCTACTACTATGCACGATTATAGGGAGTAGTCTTAGAGTGATTCTTTATTATCACAACCTGGGCCTGGGTATCCAGGACCTTCAGACCTTTGGGTAAATACTCAAGCATCTCTGGGCAATACCTCACCACTCAATCGTGCCCGAGGAGTGAGGAGAGGAGGCTCATCAATGTGATGCAGGGTTGCTGGGAGTGTCGGTTTTAGGCAAATTTTGATATGGAGTCGGATGGATGAAACGCTGTCACATTGACCTTAAGGCGGTCGTCGAAAATCAGACATTGGGATACCGGAGCTGATATCTCGACTCAAACTCTGCACACTAGTTCCCTTCTTTATTTTCACTTGCACCGTGAGAAAATGATTATCTTACTTACCTGCTGTGCTTTTTGTCACGGCCTAGGGCATTTCATCCATACATATCAACATCTCGCCCCAGACTCACTCCATTCAGCATCATTCCGATTCCACAAATAATCTACCATCTGCAAGTCGTTCATTCAGCCGATTGTGCCTTGTCGCGACGTAACACAAAGTCTCTATGCCGCCTCTTAACCAGTATCCAAGCCAGCTAATTTGAGCCTATGCAGTCTCCTCATAAGCGAGCATTTTCATCTCGAGATCCAGTTCAACTCAACTCCTGCATGCGGCACAGAAGGTACATAGCAAGGCTGAGCAGAAACAATTGAAGCAATCGAATCAAAATGGGTAGATGGCGTGTGGCAGGGCAGGGGGTTATGCTCAAAGGAGTAATAGGTAGGTAGTGTAACTGATAGCAAGGGAGGACTTCAGCCGCTCAGCTCCGCAAACTATTGATAGAGGTTCAGGTCATTTTCCATCTTGCGTTCAAACTCATATCTGCTTGTGCCCCCATAGGAAGCGTCTCTTGATATCAGATTCTCCCTCGAATAACAGCAACAGCAGCACCACAGCAATACACAACCCAACCACCACCCTCTACGATGATTCCCGCAAACCACTCGCACGCGCCGTGGAGAAAGGCCATCCTGATCCCTTTCTGGGTATGCCAGTTGGGTCTGGAGTTGATAATGATCGCGCTGCTGGCGCTGGCCATTGGTGTTCTGGGTAGCTACGATGACAACGATCATTACAACTCCTACACGTCATGGAAAATGTACGTGACTGGAAAGATGCATTGTTTTCGAAGCTGACCTGCCTCTGCAGAATTGGTCCAATTTGGCTGTCCCTGATCTCGACATGTCTCATTCTCACTCTCACGGAAATCGTCCTCCTCGCGCGAAAGAAGTTGAAGCCGCTGACTTTTCTCATTACGAACGTCCTGAAGTCCGCCATCTTTGCGGCCCTCTTCGTAATCGATATCATCTCTGCAGTTAACAATGCCTCTTCACGCACAGCTTCTGCAGTGGCGCTGGTCATCGAGGCGGCTCTCCTGTATGTAAACAAGGCCCCACCCCCCAGAACCAATAGCCAACAACCACAGTCTCTCCTTCTGGCTACCTCTTGCCTACGCGTCCATCATCTATCACCGATTCCGCACGGGCACGCAGTACAAGTCCATCAACAACCCACTCGCAAACCCGGGCGTAGGAACGGGCACTGAGTTCCAGCAATACCCGCAGCAAAGCTCCAATGTGCCCCAGTCATACAACACGCAGGCATACGGGTAGCATCTGCCAGAGCCCTATAAAGGATTCACGCAAGGAACCCCGAGCAGTCTCGAGGCTGCGCAGCCAGCATTGGGCGGAGGTGGGAGACTGAGTTATAACCACGCGAGAGATCCTCGATTTGAGGAGTTCAGACGGTCTTCACGGAGTGATTTGGGCGTCACTGAAGGTGCACCAGTGCCGCTGCAGGTAGCTGTAGAGCAGCATGATGGGCATGTATTAGAGATGGAGACCAGTAGTGGTGCAATAAGAGACATGCGGTAGTGAATTTGCAAAGGCCTTTTGCATGCGGTACTGGGGATTTGGAGTTCGATCCGGTGTTTATATTCAGAACTCTGGCTCTATCGAGGCTTCGTATTGCATATCTCAATCCTGGCTTCTTCCACGTGGTTGGTTTGCCTCCTCCGCAGCACCAAGGGTTTTTAATCTGCCGCGCACAGCACAGTCCAAGTATCCGGTGAGTGGAGTACTCCATTACCGTTGTACGGAATTTCTTCTTCCTTGAGACTCTTCAGGCAGCTCTATCTACTACGTACCTATCATTCCAGTCCAACCAATCTACGCGTCACATTTTTATTTCAGCCCAACTCTGGCTGCCCAGCCCGATAAGAACAGCTGTCCGTCGCTCTTGGTTGTTTCCACGATCCAACTCTATCGGATCCTCCCAGCCATCGCGGTTTATCTATCCAGCTGAATGGCTCGCCGCATCCCTGAGTGATGAATAATCTCCACTGAAAAGACTCCAGGGCCCCTTGGCACCGAGCGGACCTCGTTCCAGTAGCTCGGGCTGTGGGACTGCGGGGGGATGTTGGGTGGGCAGTAGGCATACCGGTACTACGTATAATCCGTATTGTTCCCGGCAGGGAGTAGTTGTGTGAAGCCCGTCAGGCAAGTTGTTTGTTTATCAAACGAAGTTTTGGTGGGGGGGGGGGGGTTAGAGAAGGGGAGGCGGAAGAAAGTCGAGGGGGTTGATGGTACAGTAATACGTAGTACTTGGTAATGATTCGCAGCCGGTTGGGTCTCTGTCGTGACTGACGTCCGGATATCGGATAAAGAGACTACCTCTGAGTTTTGATCTTGGCCCTTCTCCTGCTCTCGCTAAGGGTTTATTTTTGTTGACTCTCTTCTTCGTCCCCAGGAGCTCTAGCGAGCTCGGCTACGGTAGGGAACGGAGCGTACTTGGAAGACTATCTACGGATACGAGACTTACCCGTCGCACTTCTCGGAGTTCAAAAGGACGAAAGAGAATCCGCGGTACTCAAGTACCAGTGTACCTACGGTACCTATAAGTAGCGACGGGCAGTGTTTACCCAATTTTCATAGTTTCCACGTGTCGCGTCACGTTGTATTGGCCTTGGCCCTCCAGGCTCCCAACCGTCAGGCTCCAAGTCCAAGCTTCCCCAAGTTCCAACAGCCAGCAAAGTTGAACGACAGACCCAAGCTCCCATCAGTGCAGAATACCGGTTATACTACTATCTACCGGTATCACCAACAACCACCAGATCATCATGATGGCAGGAAGAACCCGGCAGAAATCTCGTACGGAAGCTCATCCTGTTTGCCCGGCGTGGTAGGGTAGGGTTTGTAGGGTTCGTAGGGATCCGGATACGCGAAACATTAAAAAAAAATGTGAAGGCTGGCTGCGCGAACCCAGCCTCTCCTCGCGCTCTCTGCTCCACCACCAGCCTTCTCTTCCAGAACATGCTCCGGGCCACTCACCTCACTGATATACAGTCGGAATCCTACCGCGACCGCCAGCATGCATTCCCCCGTCTCCTGCATATGCAACCGCACAAACACCTCTCACCATGAATCTTGGAAGTTTAGACGTTCATCTGGTACAATGTATGTCAAGTCGAGTCGAGTCCGCCGGTGATGCGTTGTCTCGTACGCTCGCTACGTATGGATGTATCACGCTGACACCCAGACAACAGATGGCCGCCCTGAAATACAACGAGTTGGTTCCTTTGAACGCCGGAATATTACTTCTCTGGATGTCCGACTCGAGGCCGACCGCTCTCCCTCTCTCACGTCGACGGTCTCATCCTCGTCCTACCCGGGCACGGTAATCCGGTGGCAGACTCCTCCCTCACGGCCATTCACGCCCCAGCAAAGCAGTGAAGATTCCTTCCACAGCCAAGACCCCCTCCAGAGCGAAGCAACCGCTCGACCAGAGAGATATCGCAATTCCGTTGGGGCCAATGACGTGGCATTTGCATCCGACAGCCCTCTAGTTACGTGCTTCGACGACGAGCAGATTCGGAGCAGCGAGGCCGAGCGCGACGGCAAGGCGACCCGGCGGGAAGGGAACATGGATGCATTGTTTAGGGAATCGAGCCCCCCAACGCCAGTTGACGATACTCCATACATACGCTTCGCCATCGACCAGTTAACTCGGGATGAAGATGTGCGGCCGCTCCAGAGGCACTCCACGCCTGCAAGTTACGGATCCGAGTGCTATCCCGTGGAGAGGATAGTAGCGAATGATGGGTTGACATATATGACGGCGGACCAGGAGAGGGAGGCTATGAGGCTGGTGAGAAAACACCGGTCTTCTCCTGCTGAAGGAAGATTGTTTGCCTTCAACGCGACACGTCCTCTCTCCTACTCCGAGCAACCAGGCGACCTCAACTTTCCAGCTCCTCGACGGTCTTCCAATCCCGAAATCTTCATCCCTGTCGACTTACCACCTAATAGTTTGGCACGCGACCTCACGTTTGTTCCCACGATTTTACGACCGCTTTCGATTATCACGCTGTCATGTTTATGCCTCTTAATGATTGCAGCGTTAATGTTTTGCGCCATCTACCCAACACGTCACGATAGCCTTACCGAGTGGATTGGTGATATATATGGCAGCCGATATTACGTCTTTTCTTTTTTGCCGCAAATATTGGCGGCATGCTTGTTTCTATATGTGCAATGTCTAATGGCCGCTATCACGAGAATGATACCCTTTACGCTCATGGCTATGGACGATGTTGGAAGTCGAACGGGTGCACTTTTCCTCGGGATCTTTCCCCGATCGATGTTGTGGCCTCGATGGGACGGCCCTTTCAGCATCAAGGTGGCGAGCTTGTTTCTCTGGGTTTCTGTTTTCACGATACCATTGCAAGGATGCTTATTTTCGGCCATTTTTGTGGACGGCCAGTGGAGATGGACGACAGTTCAGGGCGTCGCTTGGACCTTGGTCGCCATCTACCTGCTAATTCTGGTGGCGGCGATTGTCACAGGAGCGTTCTTCTTCAGGAGAACAACAGGATTGATGTGGGATCCTCGATCACTGGCGGACGTAATCGCGTTGCTTCCGAGTAGCAACTGTTTGAGAGATTACCCTGGGACGGATGTGATGAAGAACAGAGAGGAAATCCGGCTGAAGTTGAAGCAGCGGAGCGATCGGCTGGGATACTGGAGAACGCCCAACAAGGGTCGTGGAATCTTCTACTGCGTTGGTGAAGAGGGTGCCTCAATTAGAGAGTTTGACTCGCAAGCTGGGAAGCTTGTCGAGAGGACCCGGGCGGAGTTGGACATCGAGAATGCCGAGCTCTACAACATCCATACTCGCTTCCGACACATCCCCTGGTTCTTGCGAAACACCTTTGTTACCCTCTGGGTTGTGGCAGCTTGCGTCTCTCTCGTGGCGCTATTCGTAGTGTCATTTTTGCCTTCGACTGCCATCCGGAAAGGATTCGCGCCACGCGTGCCTGTGTTACCCAACTCGGCTGGCTTCTCGCCGTCCAACTTCCTCTACAGCTTCGTACCTTCGACCATCGGTATGTTTCTCTACCTAGTCTTTCAGCCCGTCGACATGGCACTGCGCAAGTTGCAACCTTGGGCCGAGCTGGGCAAGCCGGCAGGTGCGAACGCTCAGAACTCTTTGCTGCTCGACTACCCTGCTTGTCTTCCCCTCTCATGCAGCATGAAGGCCCTCATCAATGGACATTACCGGATAGCGATAACGTCGTTCTTGTCGGTACTCTTCATCTTGATTCCGGTCCTGGCAGGAGGGATCTTCTTCCCGCTCACCACGCCCGCCAATGTCGTCCGCATGATCCCGAATCTGCCGTCCTTCTACATCATGCTCGTACTGCTCGTCCTCTACCTCTTGGCGCTTCTGCTTCTCATCCCTCACCGATACTATATGCGTCTGCCACACGGCGTCGACTGTCTCGCCGAGATTTTCAGCTTCCTGTATGGCAGCCAGATCCTCACCGACGCGGCGTTTCAGAAGCCGAAGTCCAGGGCGGATCTAGAGACGCGGTTGACAGGCGCTCGGAACGGATGGTCACCCAGTGCTCGGATCCATCGAAACCGATTTGCATTTGGCATCTACCAAGGACGGGCCGGTGGCGAATGCTTGGGCATCGAGAGACTGGGGCGCAGAGGAACTCAAGAGATGGTGATAATGAATCCGAGGTAGATATATACTAACATGTAATGAGCGAGGGGGAACATGAGCGATGGCGTCACGATTTATGGCTGGGTGGATGCCGAACGATTGGAATGATGGATGCATATAGCGAATCTAATGAGTCTATGGTGTTATGGATACGGGAAACGATAACGGATTACGGAACGAGGGCTGGGCTTTGTTTTGGGGGGCGCGTTTGGAATTGGGCTCGGGGATAAAATGGGCTTGGTACGATTAGAGTGTATAGAAGTGTATAGATAGGAGATGTGTTGAGCGATTGATATGTACAACTTGCCAATGATGATTCATGCTCATCCGTCCGAGGTCTTTTTTTTTTTTCCTTCTCGGGGCTTCTCGTGCCTCTGCCGCCGCCGCTGCCGCGGATTGAAATCAAGCCGCAGGTAAAAGTCACAACGTTCCCCGACTCCTGTTTGGTTTGGCTCTGGCACTCTAACGGTTCTAGTACGTTTATTCTCTCTCTCTTTGATCGCTCCACGTGAGCAGCGGCTCAGGTCCCCCCCGCCGTTGATATTTGCAGTATCTAACACGAGGGGAAAGACGGGATACCTCAAAGTCCAGGGTCTTTCTCTCCTTTGTAGTCAAGTTCTGTATGTATGTATGTATGTATGTATGTATGTATGTATGTATGTAGGTATGTAGGTATGTCTTGTCGTCGGCGCCCTGCCTGTGTGCTCGAGGGGGGGTGGTAAATAAGTGAGTAAGTGAGTGAGTGAGTGAGTGAGTGAGTAGGTAAGTAAGTGAGTAAGTGAGTAAGTGAGTAAGACTTCGATCGTCAGCGGGAAACCAAACCAAATAAAAGGTAAGCCAGCAAGCAAGCGAGCGAGCGATAACTCTCAACGCTCGGCTACTACAGTAGTAGTAGTAGTAGTTGTTGTTGTTATTGTTGTATGGCTCCAGATTGGGCCGCGCGCGAATACTTCCGCTTTGCCTATTATCTCTCTATCGGTACCTATGCCCTACCGACTCGTTCTGTATCTTGATTCTATGAATGCATGAATGAATGAATGGATGAATGAATGAATGGATGAATGAACGGATGGATGGTAATGCAGCGTCCTCTTGTTAGATAGCCCGAGGCTAGGCTCGCTCGAGAGGTAACTCTTGTTTGAGCTGGGCTTCATGCCACGGCTTACTTATTGGGATTCCAATTTCAATCATTCTCGATAAGAGATAGAAGTACCGTATCCAGACCTGCTGCGGCTTCGGAGCTTGGACTACCTACGTACCGGTACATCAAACGATGCTTTATGTGTTACGGTCCTGGCGGGCCTGGGCCGGTCTGGGCACTCGCTGTTCGAGGGAGTGGTTTGGTTTGGTTTGGTGTGGTTGTGGGATTAGTCAGCGGAGTCACATGACAGCACGCTCTAGGGGATGCATACGGTATCTGGCCGTGGATTGGAATTTGTACCTTAGTTGTTTGCCTCCTTCGTCTTTCTTTTCGGAATACGTACTACGTAGCGGACGGATTGGTGGCTACTACGTACCATACTACTATACTACAATACTACCTTTCCTCAGCTGTAAACATTATGCCTTGTCCCTGAGCACAGTTATTGCTATCGCAAAGCCCTCGCTCGACAAGCAGCGCGGTATCGCACATCAACGCAACTATTCAAGAATATCATGTTTCATTTCTTCTTTCTCTCTCTCTCTCTCTCTCTCCCCTTCTCTCTCTCTTTACATATTGATATTAGACAACCACCATGATCACTGTTTCGATCCCTCTGTTCTCCAGCGGCAACTCAATCTCATCTCATCTCATCTCATCTCAATCTCATCTCATCTCATTATCATTCATCATCATTATTATCATTCGCCCCGTTCGTCCGCTCGGTTTTATTTTCCCTTGCTCTGTCTGCTGCGTAGTCCCTCCCTCCGTATAGGTCTTCAAACTTCAAAGAGGAAAAAGAAAGGAAAGAAAAAGAAAAAGAAAAGAAAAAGAAAAAGAAAAAGAAAAAAAGAAAAGGAAAAAACAAAGCTCGCAGACAAAAGAAAAGAAAAGAAAAATAGTAGATGATGCACACACACACACACACACACACACACACACCCGCGCGCATACGCACACGCAGCCTTGCTCATCGTCATCTACTATCATACGTATCATATCGGTTATCGATCGTTGTTTGCTCGAGTCGCTTCCCCCCCCCTTTCCCCTTCCTTCTCGCCCCCCCCAAAAAAAGAAAAAGAAAAAGAAAAGAAAAGGAGGAGGAGCATCCAGTGCATCTATCTAGGTATCTGCCAGCTATTCATTCATTCTGCCTGCTTGCTGCTGTTCTCTCTCTC